GAGGGTGTGGGTGTTGTGGGGGGTGTGGGTGGTGTGGGGGTGTGGGTGGTGTGGGGAGGGTGTGGGTGGTGAGGGAGGGTGTGGGTGGTGTGGGGGGAGGGTGTGGGTGGGTGAGAGGAGGGTGTAGGTGGTGAAGAGGTGTGGGTGGTGAGAGGGTGAAAGGTGTTGTAGAGGGAGGGTGTGGGTGTTGAAGAGGGAGGGTGTGGGTGGTGAAGAGGGAGGTGTAGGTGTTGTGGGGAGGGTGTGGGTGTTGTGGGGAGGTGTGGGTGTGAAGAGGAGGGTGTAGGTGGTGAGAAGGGAGGTGTAGGTGTTGTGGGGGTGTGGGTGTTGTGGGGGAGGTGTGGGTGGGTGAGGGTGTGGGTGGTGGGGGGTGTGGGTGGTGGTGTAGGGAGGTGTAGGTGTTGTAGAGGAGGTGTGGGTGTTGAGAGGGAGGTGTAGGTGGTAAGAGGAGGTGTAGGTGTTGTGGGGGTGTGGGTGTTGTAGAGGGTGTGGGTGGTGAGGGGAGGGTGTGGGTGTTGTGGGGGAGGGTGTGGGTGGGTGAGAGGGTGTGGGTGTGGGGGAGGGTGTGGGTGGTGTAGAGGAGATGTAGGTGTTGTGAGGGAGGGTGTGGGTGGTGTAGAGGGAGGGTGTAGGTGGTGAGGGTGTAGGTGTTGTGGGGGAGGTGTGGGTGGAGGTGAAGAGGGAGGTGTAGGTGTTGTGGGGAGGGTGTAGGTGTTGTTGTAGAGGGAGGGTGTGGGTGGTGAAGAGGGTGTGGGTGTTGTGGGGAGGGTGTGGGTGTGGTGAGGGAGGTGTGGGTGTGGGGTGGGGGGAGGTGTGGGTGTTGTGGGGGAGGGTGTGGGTGGTGTGGAAGGGTGTGGGTGGTGAAGAGGGAGGTGTAGGTGTTGTAGAGGGAGGGTGTGGGTGTGGTGAAGAGGGAGGGTGTGGGTGTTGTAGAGGAGGGTGTGGGTGGTGTGGGGGAGGGTGTAGGTGTTGTGGGGAGGGTGTGGGTGTGGTGAAGAGGGAGGTGTGGGTGTTGTGGGGAGGTGTGGGTGGTGAAGAGGGAGGTGTAGGTGTTGTGGGGGAGGGTGTGGGTGGTGTAGAGGGAGGGTGTAGGTGGTGAGGGAGGGTGTGGGTGGTGAAGAGGGAGGGTGTGGGTGGTGAAGAGGGAGGGTGTAGGTGGTGAAAGAGGGTGTAGGTGGTGTGAGAGGTGTGGGTGGTGAGAGGGGAGGTATGGGTGGTGTAGAGGGAGGGGGTGAAAGGGGGGTGTGGGTGGTGTGGGGAGGGTGTGGGTGGTGAGAGGGAGGGTATGGTGGTGAAGGGGTGTGGGTGTGGTGGGGGAGGTGTGGGTGGTTGAAGGTGTGGGTGGTGAGAGGGGGTGTGGGTGTTGGAGAGGAGGTGGTGAGAGGAGGTGTAGGTGGTGAAGAGGGAGGTGTGGGTGTTGTGGGGGAGGGTGTGGTGTGGTGTAGAGGGAGGGTGAAGAGGGGGGTGTGGGTGTGGTGAAGAGGGAGGGTGTAGGTGGTGTGGGGGAGGGTGTGGGTGGTGGGGGAGGGTGTGGGTGTGGTGTGGGGGTGAAGAGGGGGTGTGGGTGGTGAGGGAGGTGTGGGTGGTGTGGGGGAGGGTGGAAAGGGGGTGTGGGTGGTGAGAGGGGTGGGTGGTGTGGGGGAGGGTGTGGGTGGGGAGAGGAGGGTGTAGGTGGTGAAGAGGGAGGGTGTGGGTGGTGAAGAGGGAGGGTGTGGGTGTTGTGGGGGAGTGTGGGTGGTGTAGAGGTGTGGGTGGTGAAGAGGGAGGGTAGGTGTTGTGGGGGAGGGTGTGGGTGGTGTGGGGAGGGTGTGGGTGGGTGAGGTGTGGGTGGTGTGGGGAGGTGTGGGTGGTGAAAGGGAGGGTGTGGGTGGTAAGAGGGAGGTGAGGTGTTGTGGGGGAGGGTGTGGGTGTGGTGTGGGGGGAGGTGGTGGGGGAGGGTGTGGGTGTTGTGGGGGAGGTGTAAGTTGGTGTGGGGAGGGTGTGGGTGGTGAAGAGGGGGTGTAGGTGGTGTGGGGGAGGGTGTGGGTGTGGTGGGGAGGGTGTAGGTGTTGTGGGGGTGTGGGTGGTGAGGGAGGTGTGGGTGTGTGGGGAGGGTGTGGGTGTGTGGGGAGGGTGTGGGTGGTGAGGTTGGGTGTTGTGGGGGAGGGTGTGGGTGGTGTGGGGGAGGGTGTGGGTGGTGAGAGGGGTGTGGGTGTGGTGTGGGGGTGTGGGTGGTGAAGAGGGGGTGTGGGTGGTTGTGGGGGAGGAGGGGGTGTGGGTGGTGTGGGGAGGTGTAGGTGGTGGGGAGGGTGTGGGTGGTGAAGAGGGAGGGTGTGGGTGGTGAAGACGGAGGGTGTGGGTGGTGTGGGGAGGTGTAGGTGGTGAAGGGAGGTGTGGGTGTGGTAGAGGGAGGGTGTGGGTGTTGAAGAGGAGGGTGTGGGTGGTGTGGGGAGGGGTGTGTGGGTGGTGGGGGGAGGGTGTGGGTGGTGTGGGGAGGTGTAAGTAGTGAAGGAGGGTGTGGGTGTTGAAGAGGGAGGTGTGGGTGGTGAGGGAGGGGGTGTGGGTGTTGAAGAGGAGGTGTGGGTGTTGAAGAGGGAGGTGGGGTGTTGAAGGAGGGTGTAGGTGTGAGGTGTGGGTGTTGAAGAGGAGGTGTGGGTGTTGAAGGGAGGTGTAGACAGCAGGAGGTGTCACACTTGTGGGTTTATAGGGCCACACAACCTCCTCACCCACAACTGAAAAAACACAAAAATATACTAAAAAAAAAGATGAGTCCCTAGCTACTGTGATCCATGTTATGTAAGGGAATAATTATGCCTCGTGTTACCGTACTCGTTTATTCAGAGACTCTTATATGTTGGTGCGTTCGTTGGCAGTTAACTAAGGTTCCCAATACCCGGGATTAACTTTACCCTTTGATGACGATGATTTAACCCTTTGACGACGATGATTTAACCCTTTGACGACGATGATTTCACCCTTCAGGACTCAAAGGGTTAATCAACTCTTTCTGAATGATGTCTGAGAATGAACACACCGCCCTGTATGACGACACAACATGGCGGGTAGTCAGTCCTAATAGGAAAGATATTTTAATGAGTAATTTACCTGTTTAGCTGAAGGTATAGTTTATAAGTATGTAAAATTGTATCTGCTTATTTTACACACATACATACATATAGATATACACACATAAACACACACACACACACACACATGGTCACAATGCCAAACACGCGAGGTAAACCTGAGAAGTATGTGCTTGTGTTTTATAATAGCCATGTACTGAACGGCCGAGTGTTTGACCTCTCCTTCCACCATCTGATCACTTACAGTTAAAGATCACAAAAAGATGGTTTAACTGGTGCTAAGTGAACGAGAGAAAGAAGGAGGAGGAGGAATAAAACAAGAGGAGGAATAAAGAGAAGGGGTAAGAAAGATGTGTGTGTGTGTGTGTGTGTAAGGCCAATATTACTATCGGCTCAACACGGAATTAACCTGTTGTTTGTGTGTTTGTTGTGTTTGCTGGAGTTGTGTGTTTGTGTTTGCTGGGGTTGTTTGTTGTGTTTGTCTTTTGATGAGTTGTGGTAGTGATTTCGTCATCCTCCCGATTGAACTTTTCATTTGACAGGTATTATGTGTAAATAAGAGCACACGCACACACACACACACACACGCATAATATTCAGCAGCATCTCTGCAGTGGTAAGAATCGTTGTGTGTGTGTGTGTGTGTGTTGGAACAAGGTATGTTTTTAAGATACACATTAATAGTGAGTACAGAGTTGGGTGTAAAGTTATTCAGTATTATTGCCGGGAGTGTGGGTATCAAGTTTTGCAGAGACGCCGCAGCTTTGGGTGATAAGAGCCTCTCTGTTTATCCCTGAGAGCTGGGTACTGTCATGCTAGCTGCTGACCATGTTTATCTACTGTCTGGGGGTATCTGCCCTGACCACTAGTCACAGACATTCATACATACATAGATATACCTATGTACACAGAAATACACAGAAATACATACATATACATATCTACGGATACAGGAAGCCATTGTGGTTCTTATGTTAAACTGTAGTTACTAATCAAATGATTGATGAACAAATTAGATAGATGCACCAACGGTTACAAGTGTGTCGAGCGCTGCATTGCATTAAGTCAACAGTGAGGTCAAGTACTGTGCAGAAGTTTAGTATTCTGTGCTGTTTCCACGCTGCCCTTATCAGGCCTGTGGGACCCACTTTTCACTCCTGTAATAGTTTCTGGCCGCACTCCACAGTTAAGTCATCAGTGTTTTTGTTTTGTTTTTGTAATGTAATAATATTGGTTTAGTCTTCCCAAGTTGTAGTGATAATTGTGTCAACCATTACTGACTTTGGTTGTGTCCTCCTGTTGGTTAGTACTGTAATGATCACTACTTTTATAATGCTGAAATATAGTGTTTTGTTGGAGAGGAGAGTACCGTCAGTGAGTGGCAGGAAAACAAATTTTGTCACTTGTAGTATAGGGATGTCAAAGTCAGCTGACAGTGACGGACAAACAGCCGATCAGTGCTGGTAAACAGGAAACAGTTTGTGCGTCTTAATGTAAGACTAATACTATATTCGGCTAACAAACACCTAACGTCTATTAGACTAATATACACTTGTCCCCTGCACAGTCTTATCTTATTGGTGAAATTTAGATGATAAACATGAGCTAATGTTTAGTGTGTTATTTTAAAGAGCAACCTGCGCACGGCTCACACGCAGTCCCCGTGTCTCAGTTACCTATCCTGACTAATGAAACGTTTATGGTAATATTTCGTGTCCTGAACAAACCACTAAATGATATTGAGTTATTCATGTCACCTAATTTACAGAAAGGATGATTTACATGAAAACAAGTAAGTATGTGGTCTGATGAAAGCATAAAGGAGAGCAACAATAGTGTAAAATTGTGTATCGGGAGGTACAAGGCAACGGTGTGGAGGTGGTGAGTGTGTGTGCGGGTCGCCGTCATGTTTCTCAGTTACTATCGGGACACGGAGTAAAGTAATGATAGCCAGGGACCGGGTACCGTACCAACCCACTATTCTGTGCTTGTTGTCCCAAACTTCCTGTACTGTGACCCCCCCAAAAACTTTTGTGACAATAATCGAATAACTGTAAGACACTATTCTTTTTATTACCATTATTTACAGTGACTGAATATGGATATTACTGTGGTAACTGGAAACTTAAGCTGTGTCGGTGAAATTGCTTGTTTGAGGTGTCTTTAATTTATACGCCCTCTGGTTACCAAGTGCCCCAGCTGCCCATCATTCACCTGTAGAATGTTAAGGAAATGTCTCGTTATATTTACTTACATTCCCTATATAGATAATCATTCCTCGGTAGATTTCTTTCTTTGCTGAAACGAATTACTGTAGTGCCTTCGTGCTAGGATTGGTTGAGTGCCTTCGTGCTAGGATTGGTTGAGTGCCTTCGTGCTAGGATTGGTTGAGTGCTGTGCGAGGATTGGCTGGAGTGCCTTCGTGCGAGGATTGGTTGAGTGCCTTCGTGCGAGGATTGGTTGAGTGCCTCGTGCGAGGATTGGCTGAGTGCCTCGTGCTAGATTGGTTGAGTGCCTTCGTGCGAGGATTGGTTGAGTGCCTTCAAAGTAGGGGATTGGCTGGAGTGCCTTCGTGCTAGGATTGGTTGAGGCCTTCGTGCCAGGGATTGGTCGAGTGCCTTCGTGCGAGGATTGGTCGAGTGCCTCGTGCGAGATTGGCTGAGTGCCTTCGTGCGAGGATTGGTCGATGCCTTCGTGCTAGATTGGTGAGTGCCTGTGCGAGGATTGGTGAGTGCCTCAAGATTGGTTGAGTGCCTTCGTGCGAGGATTGGTTGAGTGCCTTCGTGCGAGGATTGGTCGAGTGCCTGTGGAGGATTGGCTGAGTGCCTCGCGAGGATTGGTCGAGTGCCTTCGTGCAGGATTGGCCGAGTGCCCGTGCGAGGATTGGCTTGAGTGCCTTCGTGCGAGGATTGGTTGAGTGCCTTCGTGCGAGGATTGGTCGAGTGCCTTCGTGCGAGGATTGGTCGAGTGCCTTCGTGCTAGATTGGCTGAGTCAGGATTGGTTGAGGCCTTCGTGCTAGATTGTTGAGGCTCGTGCGGATTGGAAGAGTGCCTCGTGCTAGATTGGCTGAGTGCCTTCGCGAGATTGTCGAGTGCCTTCCGAGGATTGGTCGAGGAGGCTGAGTGCCTTCGCGAGGATTGGCTGAGTGCCTCGTGCGAGGATTGGTCGAGTGCCGTGCGAGGATTGGCGAGTGCCTCGGATGGTGAGCCTTCGTGCTAGATTGGTTGAGCCTTCGTGCTAGGATTGGTTGAGTGCCTCGTGCGAGGATTGGTCGAGTGCCTTCGTGCGAGGATTGGTCGAGTGCCTTCGTGCTAGATTGGCTGGAGTGCCTTCGTGCGAGGATTGGTCGAGTGCCTTCGTGCGAGGATTGGTCGAGTGCCCTCGTGCAGAGGATTGGTCGAGTGCCTTCGTGCTAGGATTGGTTGAGTGCTCGTGCGAGGATTGGTCGAGTGCCTTCGTGCGAGATTGGTTGAGTGCTCTGCTAGGATTGGTGAGTGCCTTCGTGCGGGATTGTCGTTGCCTGTGCGAGGATTGTCGAGTGCCTTGCGAGGATTGGTTGAGTGCCTTCGTGCTAGGATTGGCTGAGGCTCATAGGAGGATTGGTCGAGTGCCTTCGGAAGGATTGGTCGAGTGCCTCCGTGAGATTGGTCGAGTGCCTCGAGGATTGGTTGAGTGCCTTCGCGAGGATTGCTGAGCCTCGTGCGAGGATTGGTTGAGTGCCTCGTGCTAGGATTGGCTGAGGCCTCGTGCTAGGATTGGTTGAGTGCCGTGCGAGGATTGGCTGAGTGCCTTCGTGAGGATTGTTGAGTGCTCGTGCGAGGATTGGTTGGAGTGCCTCGTGCTAGGATTGGCTGAGTGCCTTCGTGCTAGGATTGGTTGGTGCCTCTGAGGATTGGTTGAGTGCCTTCGTGAGGATTGTTGAGTGCCCTGCAGGATTGGCTGAGTGCCTCGTGCTAGGATTGGTTGAGTGCCTTCAAAGGAGGATTGTTAGATTGAGGCCTTCGGAGGATTATTGAGTGCCTCTAGGATTGCTGAGTGCCTTCGTGCTAGGATTGGTTGAGTGCCTTCGTGCGAGGATTGGTTGAGTGCCTCGTGCGAGGATTGGTTGAGTGCCTCGTGCTAGGATTGGTTGAGTGCCTTCGTGCGAGGATTGGTTGAGTGCCTTCGTGAGGATTGGTTGAGGCCTCGCAGGATTGGCTGAGTGCCTCGAGGATTGGTGAGGCCCAAGATTGCGACCTCGTGCGAGGATTGGTTGAGTGCCTCCATGCAGGATTGGTTGAGTGCCTCGTGCTAGATTGGTTGAGTGCCTTCGTGCTAGGATTGGTTGAGTGCCTTCGGAGGATTGCTGAGTGCCTTCGTGCGAGGATTGGTCGAGTGCCTTCGTGCTAGGATTGGCTGGAGTGCCTTCGTGCGAGGATTGGTTGAGGCCTTCGTGCTAGGATTGGTTGAGTGCCTTCGTGCGAGGATTGGCTGAGTGCCTTCGTGCGAGGATTGGTTGAGTGCCTCGTGCTAGGGATTGCTGAGTGCTCTCAAAGGATTGGTGGAGTGCCTCGTGCTAGGATTGGTTGAGTGCCGTGCGAGGATTGGTCGAGTGCCTTCGTGCGAGATTGGTTGAGTGCCTCGTGCTAGGATTGGTTGAGTGCCTTCGTGCTAGGATTGGTTGAGTGCCTTCGTGCGAGGATTGGTTGAGTGCCTTCGTGCTAGGATTGGTTGAGTGCCTTCGTGAGGATTGGTTGAGTGCCTTTCAGAGATTTTGAGGCCTTCTGCGAGGATTGGTCGAGTGCCTTCGTGCTAGGATTGGTTGAGTGCCTTCGTGAGGATTGCTGAGTGCCTGTGCGAGGATTGGTTGAGTGCCTCGTGCGAGGATTGGTTGAGTGCCTGGCGGATTGGTGACTCGTGAGGATTGGGGTGCCCTGCGATTGAGTGCCTGGGTGGTGAGCCTCGTGCTAGGATTGGTTGAGTGCCTTCGTGCGAAGGATTGGTTGAGTGCCTTCGTGCGAAGTTGGTTGAGTGCCTTCGTGCGAGATTGGTTGAGTGCCTTCGACTGCTGGTTGGTTGAGTGCCTTCGTGCTGGGATTGGTTTGGAGTGCCTTCGTGCGAGAGTTGGTTGAGTGCCTTCGTGCGAGGATTGGTTGAGTGCCTTCGTGCTAGGATTGGTTAGTGCCTTCGTGCTAGGTTGGTTGAGTGCCTTCGTGCTAGGATTGGTTGAGTGCCTTCGTGCGAGATTGGTTGAGCGCCTTCGATGCGAGGTTGGTTGATGCCTTCGTGCGAGGATTGGTTGAGTGCTTCGTGCGAGATTGGTTGAGTGCCTTCGTGCGAGATTGAGTGCCTTCGTGCGAGGATAGTTGAGTGCCTCGTGCTAGGTTGGTTGGAGTGCCTTCGTGCTAGGATTGGTTGAGTGCCTTCGTGCGAGAGTTGGTTGAGTGCCTTCGTGCGAGGATTGGTTGAAGTGCCTTCGTGCTAGAGTTGGTTGAGTGCTGCCTTCGTGCGAAGATTGGTTAGAGTGCCTTCGTGCGAAGTTGGTTGAGTGCCTTCGTGCGAGGATTGGTTAGTGCCTTCGTGCAGATTGGTTGAGTGCCTTCGTGCAAAGTTGGTTGAGTGCCTTCGTGCAGGATTGGTTGAGTGCCTTCGTGCGAGGATTGTTGAGTGCCTTCGTGCTAAGTTGGTTGAGTGCCTTCGTGCTAGGATTGGTTGATGCCTTCGATGCGAGATTGGTTGAAGTGCCTTCGTGCGAGGTTGGTTGTGAGTGCCTTCGTGCTAGGATTGGTTGAGTGCCTTCGTGCGAGATTGGTTGAGTGCCTTCGTGCTAAGTTGGTTGAGTGCCTTCGTGCTAGGATTGGTTGGTGCCTTCGTGCGAGATTGGTTAGTGCCTTCGTGCGAGAGTTGGTTAGATGCCTTCGTGCTAGGATTGGTTGAGTGCCTTCGTGCGAGGATTGGTTGAGTGCCTTCTGCGAGATTGGTTGAGTGCCTTCGTGCAGGATTGGTTGAGCCTTCGAGTTGAGTGCCTTCGTGCTAGGTTGGTTGATGCCTTCGTGCTAGGATTGGTTGAAGTGCCTTCGTGCGAGGATTGGTTGAGTGCCTTCGTGCGAAGATTGGTTAGTGCCTTCGTGCGAGGATTGGTTGAATGCCTTCGTGCTAGGATTGGTTAGTGCCTTCGTGCTAGGATTGGTTGAGTGCCTTCGTGCGAGATTGGTTGAGTGCCTTCGTGCGCGAGATTGGTTGAGTGCCTTCGTGCGAGGATTGGTTGAGTGCCTTCGTGCGAGGATTGGTTGAGTGCCTTCGTGCGAGGATTGGTTGAGCGCCTTCGTGCGAGGATTGGTTGAGCGCCTTCGTGCGAGGATTGGTTGAGTGCCTTCGTGCGAGGATTGGTTGAGTGCCTTCGTGCGAGGATTGGTTGAGTACCTTCGTGCGAGGATTGGTGTACATTTAGGTAATAGTAACACGTGATTATTAATCTTAACCAATCGAAAATAATTTTATCTACAAATTAATGACTGACGTAGAATCTTTGGGTTAAGTTGATTGTGTCGTCTACGGTGAGAGATGGATGGTGTGTTAAGTCCTTTCCCACCCACACACATTGGCACAAGATTGTAGGTATCGCAGTACTGTGTTGATTCATTCATTCTCTCGTTCACTTCATTGTATTTTCATTCATTTATCATTCATTTTTCTAGTTGGCATCATTCAGGCTTAATTGGTTTATTAACTGGCCTTCCTCCCCTGTCCCGTTTCGTGCATACTAATAGTGTTATCAATGTCATTGGTAATTTTTCCCACGTAGACTATCCTCCCTCGACAGGAATTACCAGTAGTGTATAGTGACTTGTCCCTCCCTCAGGTACACACACCAGACGACTGTGTTATCTCTTGTATCTCTACAGGTGTAACATACAATCGCCGCTTGTCATGAGTGTCTTGGAGGACCTTGGTAGCGAACATTAAACCCAAGTTGAAGATCCTTTTGCCGCCGTGTTACAACAACTGATAGTGATATGTTGTCTTATTGTTAAGCGACGCCTTAAGGCTAATCTATGCAAGCAGGACTATGCAGCAGCGCCTGAGCTGTCCTCAAGGTGGATGTTCCTACTGTAGGGTGGTGCCTTCCTCGCCTCTGCTGCCACTTCGCGTGTATGGCCCACTCACTCCCAACCATCCCTTCCCTAAGGTGAGTTATCAGAGCTTCTCACTATGTAAATACTGCCACCTTAAGTATAAGTGTCAGTATCAGTAGCTATCTGTTTCGTCACTCCTGTAAAAGTGATCAGTTTTTGTTAGGGTGGTGGTGGCGGCCCTTGAAACTGGTGTCTTGTTTACCATGGGATAACTGGAGAACCTTTACCCGTGTTTAGTATTAATGTTACTGACGGAGACTGGGTCAACGGTTAAGGCCATTATAATTATTTCCTCAGTATGTTAGTCATTACCTCACCAAGCATGATGGATGGTTTCTGTCAGCCTCGTAGTGTTGTATCACGCCAGGGCCTTAACAGGAAAGGCGGTCGGCGGGTCTCAGTGGTGGGTTAGAGGCCTCGGTCATTCTCTGCAATATTTTAGTCATCTCATTGCATCTCAACCCAACCATTTAAACACTTTGGAAATGTTGTCTCGGTAAGAGGGTGGTTGGTAAAGAGAGGGGCGGGGAGGTAATCACCTTGTGGGCGTGGCTTAAGTGACAGGTGAAAGATACTTCACCTGTATTTTTTTTTTACTGGGATTAGCCCACCGGGGCACAGGTCACTGACCCACATCGGAGCCTGGGGGGCGAAAATGTAATAATAATAATAATAATAATAATAATAATAATAATAATTCAGATAAGTAAAATTTATAATAAAAAACAAAAATTAAAATAATAATAATAATAAAGAACCATAAAGAAATACAAAAATTAAAAACAAGATGCTAAGGTGTAATAATAAGGTAGTGTATTTTTTCGTAAAGTCAAATATTTCTCTCAAAAGCCATATCTTCCATACGTATGGCTCAAGAGAATAAATAGCCATGATTAATGAGAAATATCAGATGAATCGAGAAAAATACATCAATTTGGGTATATTTCATCAGTATATTTTCCACCTGAGCCTTACAAGTGTCCATCATAATACTGTAGTAGTAGGTTGGGGCTGCTCTCGTGTTCTTCCAGTGTTTACCAGTTAGTGTTTTGCAGTTTAAGAGCGCGTGGGTATTTATAAACTACGCTCAAGTAGTATAGAATGAAGGTGTTTGTAAGGAAGAGTGGATTGCAGTAAAGTGTGGCGCTGTGTATCGTTAAGCATGTCACTCCTGTTGTCGTTTCACCAGTTGATAGTGTCATATATATTTATTTTCATATTAGAAGTACAAAACAAGAATACTGAATGAAAAAACACGTTCAAATGATTCTTCACTTTACCAGTTTGTGTACAAGAGAATAGATCTTCTCATCCTATCTTGTGGCGGTGCTGGGGCCAGAAATTTGTTACCCGGTAGGTCTTTGTAGGCCTGGTTTAACAAGTTAAATACTTGTAATCTTTTTCTTTTTTCTTTTATCCTCTTCGCCACTGATCGGCTCGTTAGCCGCTTGGGCGATCGGTCACATCTGAGGAGTTTTCCTTTTCATTTATCCTCTTCACCAAAAGATCGGCTTGCTAGCCGCCCGGGTACACAAAGTATACAGCCTTACCTCCCGTTCGGGTTTATTTCCTTTAAAATATTAAAATTAATTTATTTATCGGCTACAGAGGCCAGAGGCGCTTAGTCAAAGATCATCTTGGGAGGTAGGAGTTACGGGAGGCAGTAGGGTGGTGGTTGAAGATAAACGGATAGGAAACTCAGTAGGTTATAAGGTTTCACTGTAGTGCAAGTCTTCATGACACACCGTGATGGGCCCGGGCGCCTTCCTCCTCTTTTTATTTATTTATTTATTTTATTTATTTTTCCTGGGATTAGCCCACCCGGGCACAGGTCACTGAACCCACATCGGGGCGTGAGGGGCGAAAATATAATAATAATAATAATTCACAGTAAATAAAATTTATAATAAAAAATAAAATAAAATAATAATAACAGCTCAGGTTCTCAACTGGCTCAGCCATGTTAGTATTGTTATTATAATCCACTCTGTATCTGTGTTTTTCTGGCTAAATAAACTGTTTCAATTCAATTCAATTGTTATAATAATAAAAACGAAATACAAAGAAATACACAAATGAAAAAAATCATTTGTGAGAAATGTTATATGTATGTTGTGTTGTCAAAGTAAGAGAAACAATCGAGACTGAAATTATATGTAAATGAGGCAGAAAGACAGATCAGCAACCTGGGACTTGGTCACAATATTCGTGATGCCATATGGCAGCAGGGTCTACCATTAGACAACACATTATGCTTCCAATATCTTTTCACAGGCGGTAGTACCTACTGATTATGGCCACCATCATCACTCTGAGAGCTTCATTGCTTCACTCAAGGTTCATTTCTTGAGTGTCTGTTTAGCTTTGTGTTCAATAGTGTTGTATGAAGCCTAAATTCAAGTTTTATAGAATCTACCATCCACTGAGCCCCGCCTGTCTTGACAATGGCTAAAATTGCTAGTTGATTGAGAACTAAGCGAATCTAACCAGGCACTAGCACCTTGTATGTTGAAACATCATCAGTGTGGCCGAGTGGCTGCCTGTAGTCATTGACTCTTGGTTAAACATGTGTTAATGCTTCGTATGTCGGGGCTGGGCTGGAGCCTGGCGTTGTCTCGGTAAAAATTCTGTACAACTGAATTAAGGCTTCATACGACATTGCTTAACCTGACAACACTACATTTTTTTGAAGCATTTTCTTAAAAATTATGGTTAATATTTACTAATTAGGAAAGGTTAGGTAAGGTTTTCCCTGTTTAAAGGTTTGTTTGGTGTCCTTTTTAGTATTTACCCCACATTTCCCTTGTGCTTAAAAGTCCTGCCCAGTAAATATTTAGTAGTTGCCATATAAAATTTAAAATAACTCGAAAACCATAAATATTCAACTGAAACGCTGTAGAATAAATTATTTTGTTTAGTATTTTCCTCTATCTTCCTTTATAAGACTCCATATATAGGTACGTGTTGGCAACTACTAAATATTAACCAATATAAATTCCGTCGACTTAGCTGTATACCCCGTCGACAGAAACTGGTTCAGGGACGGCTGTACTGGTGGCATATACTGCAGTCATTGGGCATGTGACTCGCGTGCCCAGATCTTCATTCAGTTGCTGGACAGTATTAGACTCTTGAGATAAACTGACTAGTGTTGTTACTTTGGGCTATGATTATGTACGATCTCGTTACATACAATTAGATTCCTGTAGTGTTGTCCCAGAAGACGATGGTGTCTAGTATGTTAAACAGAACTTGGTGTCTTCGTTATAAAGGTATGCACACACTGGTCACGAGTTCCTTTACGACATATGATAGATTTATGGAGCGTCTCAGTTCAGGTCATCCCGTCCAATAAATCTTCCCTGGTTATCCTAGTGAGAGAATTTTCAGATTTATTTTCCTGGAAGCTGAAGTTGTCAACGTGTCTATTGTACTGTTTTCATGTAGGTCTGTCTGAGCTATTTATTGAGGTTAGTAACAAAGGGGTGGGGGGGGGGGCTGAAATCACTGTCAAATAGTTAGTGATTGATTATTGATTATTTATGACTGGCGATTAGTGAGCGCTTGTCATCCATCTTGTGACGAGCGTGACATATTTTCTAAAATTGGATCTGTGGTTCTTACACCGACTTGGAAAGTAAGATAATTCCAACCAACAAACTTGACCGTGTTAGGCTAGATTCTGCTTGTCCGTATTATTGGCTTCATGTCTGTGAGGTCACAGCTTGGCTAACGGGCTCAGGTGCGTCATGTTCAGACTACAGAGAAGCATTTTACAGGTATTTTCCATCATAATTTCTGTCCTTGAATTGCTGTTATTCTGAGGACGATTGCTTAGAGTTTCTGAAACCATCAAAATATTTCTGATCATCCCCGAGGCTGCTGAGGAATCGAAAATATTTGTCAGTTCGTGAGATGACGTACCAACGACACTTGTCACTTTAATTATGGTGCAAGACCAGCCTGCACTACCACCACCACTGCTACCACAAACATTTATACTCTATATATATATATATCTCAAGATAAAAAACCATATGATAATACTAAGACACTGGTTAGGTTAGATTAGGTAGGTGACGGTATCTTGGTCGAGTGTAATAATATCCAGGTGTGTTTACGAACATTATTTGACGGTGGTAATAGTATGAGCAGTGTTACAGCCGACCAGTGCATAACAACACGGTGACTAAGTGAAAAATATTCTGATAATTACAGGTATTAGCTCTTTATCAGCGTCTATTAATGTACGAGTCAATAGGATTTTTATAAGTGTGTGTGGGGGGAGGGGGGGGGGCGTCTGTTGTAAGTTGGTGTGAGTACGTCAATTAATTCTCAATATCCTGCCATGTTTTGCGCTACGGTTTCTAGATAAATTGATGCACACTGAATTAAAGTCCATGCATCAGTGTGAGCGATGGTTCACGTACAACAGGATTGGTTAAATTAAAACAAATGAAATCGTCCCAGGTGGCTGGCGGGCGTGTGAAGGTGGTGTTGCTGGTGGAAGACCTTGAGTTTACACAATGATGTTTGTGTTAAGAGTTTGTAATTAGTATTAATATTCCTGTGACACCAGAACCTCTTAATTCGGGGTTAAAATACTTTTATCGTCTAAGTTAATTTAATTTATTCTACACTGGTTAGGTAATCAAACACGCCGGCCATAAAACCAGATTATCTTTTTGTAAATTGGGCTGGAAAAAGTCGGTTCACGGCAATGATATAAAAAACGTAAATTTGTCAAAAACTGGGGCTCCGGCCGGCCACCTGATCCCCCCCTCCCCTCCCCCCAACAAAAGGGTCACACAAGGTGGGTCAAGAACGCTGGCTGATGATGGGAACAACACACACATTTACCAGTGAATGTGTTAACTGTTCTGTTGTGCTGTGCTGGATGGTGACACACACACACACACGGAGGTTGGGTACGAACATAAAGTGTGTCCAGATAAGGAGTACCAAAACAGAATTGAATTAATATTATAATCATTGTTGCCATTAAAAGAATATTTAACTTTAAACAATACTTAAAATATACTTAAGTGTAATA